GAAGCTGGCCAGGCCATAGTCTGTGATTTTGAGCACAAAACGACTATCCACCACACAGTTGGAGGACTTGAGACTCCCATGGAATGCAATAATGCTGTTATGGAGAAAGGCCATGCCCTGCAGGATACAGATCAAGTCATGAGATTGGATTGTTTCTTTTTTTTTTTTTTTAAACTATATTTTATTGATTTTTTACAGAGAGGAAGGGAGAGGGATAGAGAGTTAGAAACATCGATGAGAGAGAACCACCGATCAGCTGCCTCCTGCACACTCCCTACTGGAGATGCGCCCACAACCCAGGTACATGCCCCTGACCGGAATCGAACCTGGGACCTTTCAGTCCACAGGCCGACGCTCTATCCACTGAGCCAAACCGGCTTCGGCGAGATTGGATTGTTTCTGACTTAGGATACCCCCTCTCCATGAGACAGGCATTAGCCAGCTATCTAAAGATCTTGGGGCCATAAAAACAGTAAGCTAGTTGCGGAAGGCTTTCTGTACACAGTTTCCACCCAAGGAGACAGACAGACTGGGATAACCATCTCCTCCTTGTGCCATGTGCAGGCTGTTGGTACCCAGGCACTAGGGAGAGAAGAAATGCTTTGAGGAGGGGCAAGGGGAGCCATCAGTTATTAGCCTGGAAAGGGCAGTCGGGCTTCTGCGTAGTGAAGGGAGCAGAATGATGAGAGTGAACTCCAAGAAAGCTATGACACCCATGGTGGCCTGCAGTGCATGGCCACTACTTAGGAAGACATGGCTTGAGACCCAAGCAAGTATCAAGAGTACTTAGATGTATCAAGGAAGATTAATGAGTTGTAAACCTTAATGTATACCCATGTGTAGGTAGGCAAGTAAGGATGGAGGAGGAAATTGACCTACCAGAGGGGATGCTAGGCCAGAAAGAAAGTGTAGAAAATAGTAAATTAGAAAAACTTGGAAAAAAATAAAAATCTGGAACTGGACAAAAGTAGGAGACAGCTGCCAAGCCAGTGAAGAAGCCTGAAACTTCTGGCCTCATAGGGCTGATAAAATAACCTTGTGAGAATTAAGCAGAAAAATCAAAGCTGGCCCGGCCAGTGTGACTCAGTGGTTGAGCATTAACTCATGAACCAGGAGGTCATGGTTCAATTCCAGGTCAGGGCACATGCCCAAGTTGTGGGCTTTATCCCCAGTAGGGGGCATGCAGGAGGCAGCCAATCAATGATTCTCTCTCATTATTGATGCTTCTATCTCTCTCTCCCTCTCCGAAATTTAAAATATATATACATACACACATATTTATATTTTTTAGCAAAGCTGGCTTCAAGTGTGGTACAAATGATCCACTAGGCTAGCTTACTGACTATGACACTTGTTTCTAAACATCTGTCCAACCCGTGCAAGATTCAAATTTATACCATTGAAAATCCATGGACTTCTGGGTCACCTAAAATTAGCTAAAACGTAATATATTAGAAGATACCAAAGGTTTACTATAATTTTCCTTGGTTTCTCTTAGTTTTACTAGTAAATGTTCTTTTTCACATTTCAGTTTTTCTGAACAAAAGAACAGATATGCCAAATATTGGTCAGAGAATAAATTGTGGGGAAAAAACAAGCGATAAATATTTCTGGAGACCCCATTCATCTTTTCCCTGCTGAGAGATTTTAATATGAGCTCTTGGAGGGTTAAAAAATAAATAAAAAAGATGGAGAGAGATTTGAGATATCTAGGGAAGAAAGACAAAAATTCTCTACAAGTACAGGACTGTCTGTGGCAGATAAAACTCATTCCCCCAATTAAAAATCCCAGACCCTTTGTTTACCCATTATTACTCAACAATAGAAATAGGGGAAATGGAGAGAGGACCAAAAGGAGAAATCATAAACAAACATAGAAAAATGGAGGCATTTTAAAGTGGATGAACTCTTCATGAGGCGTAGGGAAGACTCACCTTAACAAGGTCATTAATGAGTGAATAACGGAACATCCAGTCCAAGTTGATGCTGTCATTTTCCAGAATATCCTGGCAAGTGACATGAAATGGGTTATGTGACTACCCTCGTTCCACTAGCTATCAGCTGCATAGAGTCAATGTAACATTGAGCCTGACTCCTCCACCTCTGTAACCTTCACCTATCCCTCACCTGTAAACTCCCACGAGTACAATACTCAGTGACGATGCAAATGTTGGGAGGGTCTATGCAAGCACCAATGAAGCGAGTGAGATGGTTGAACTGAACATCTCTCATCTAGAAAAAAAAGGGGGGGGAAGGAAGAGAGAATTGAGAGAGCTAAAAATTAGATACAGAAATCTACCCCTATACGAGAGGGCCTTTCTCTCAATGGTACTTATAACTCAAAGTCATTTATAAATGAACCCACTGCCCTCCTAACCAATTTCACCCCTCACAGTCCTCCCCTTTCTCTTCCCTGTCCCTGTCTACCCCTTGCCCTCAATCCATACACCTTTACGTACATGTTTGAGTTCAAACAGAACCTGCCGGGTCAGCTCAATGCGCTTCTTATTCACATGTTTGATGGCAACAACATTTCCCTGATGGCGGGAGTGAAGGGGGGAAAGGAAAAATTAATATCAGAAGGCATTTCTGGGTGCTAGGAATACTGGAGAACTCTGGGAAGATCTAGGAGCTCAGCTGAACATTATGAGGGGCAGAGGTTCATGGGAAGAGGTGACAGATGGGAATGAAACAGGATGAAATGGTGGGGACCAGAACAAGCGGATGACTGTTCACCTTGAAGTGACCGGTGTTGGCAAAGATCTGGTATTTCCCATGGGCTGTCATAAGCGAGCCGTAACTGGATCCCCGCTGGGGCCAAGGGCAACATGGAGGCGGAAGGATGAAAGGAACATTAGATGATGGTGGTAGTGCAGGGACTATCATTACAGGCCAATGTGCTGGGAAAGGTCCAGGGTAAGAAAGGACAGGAACTCAAAGGAAAGCGGAGGTACAGCTGAGACAAGGGCTCACCAGTGACAGTGTGAGGCGACTGCCTGCACCTTTGTGATATCGCTCTGAATTGCCAAACTGCAGCTCTTCCCAGCGAATGCGCCACAACATGCTAGCAAGCTCCTTCTCCAGCATCAGTTTTCTGTAAGGACTGCACACCTCAGTTGACTGGCAAGCCCGAGCCTACCATCCCATAAACCAACGGTGGGGTTGCAGGGCTTCCCTGCAGCTCCTGAAGCTGCTATTTTACACCCGCGACACAGGACTGACATATCTGACACATGCAGTGGGCTCATTTAGAAACACCGAGGCCAAAGGTAAAAGTTTTTTCTGAAAATGGCAGCGTCCATGGAAAATTCGCCTGGCCCTTGTAAGACCCCTCTCAAAACCACTAGGTAGCATACCCCGTGTCGAACCAAAAGGGGGAAAACAACACCCAGGCTAAAAGACAACGAAAGAAAAAGGCGAGAGAGGAGGACATTAGGTCCAAGAGACGACCTCCAAATTAAGAGGCCTGCCCCCAGCCCATGGTATAGGGCAGTGATGGCGAACCTTTTGAGCTCGGCGTGTCAGCATTTTGAAAAACCCTAACGTAACTCTGGGGCCGTGTCACATATAGAAATTTTTTGATATTTGCAACCACAGTAAAACAAAGACTTATATTTTTGATATTTATGTTATATACTTAAATGCCATTTAACAAAGAAAAATCAACCAAAAAAATGAGTTCACGTGTCACCTCTGACACGTGTGTCATACGTTCGCCATCACTGGGATAGGGACTACCTGGCCTCAGCCAGAATGCCGGATGGCAATGGGAGGTAGGAGGCGGGAGGTCAGGGGAAAAGCCCAGAACTCACCGGAAGATGAGAAAGCTGGAAACACCAAATATGATGAAGGTGATCCCTGTGCCCAGCGCCACAATTGCCAGAGTTGAAAATGGAGCTGAAGGGGAGAGGGGGCCCTGAGGAAGACTGCGTGTGGGGCTGAAGCACGGGGAGGGTGATGCTCAGGTGCAGGGAGGAGACAGGTTTCTTGAGGGGAAGAGTAAGGAGGGGTGTTGAAGTAGAGGTAACAGTAGAACTAAGGTGGGGCGTCAGTGAGGGCAGCGGGGACGGGAAGGAAGGGAGGAAGGAGGGCTCCCAGTCCCCGCACACACCCACTTTTATCACAGGATGGGTCGTCCAAGTCAAAGGCACAGGGGGGATTGTCCAAGGGCGGCGCCCCTTTCACCCAGGGGATAGGCCGTCCCGTCCACCAAATCTGCTTCTCAGCTCCTGAGTAGTGGGCTGCAGGCTGTGAGGAGAGAGAGGACTGGGACCACGGGCCTGCTCCCACCAGCCTCCTCCCCAAAGCACCCCGCTCTCTGGCTGCTCTCCCCCAACCTCCTAGCCACCCAGATGCAGATCCAGCAGAGGAAACAGTCCCTGCCTCTGGTTCCTCTGATTCTGCCCCATTGAACCCTGGAAAGCTGGACTCGCAGAGCCCACACTCTCCTTCTTTTTTTTTAAATATATTTTATTGATTTTTTACAGAGAAGAAGGGAGAGAGATAGAGAGTCGGAAACATCGATGAGAGAGAAACATCGATCAGCTGCCTCCTGCACATCTCCCACTGGGGATGTGCCCGCAACCCAGGTACATGCCCTTGACTGGAATCGAACCCGGGACCTTTCAGTCCGCAGGCCGATGCTCTATCCACTGAGCCAAACCAGTTTCGGCCACACTCTCCTTCTTGCCTCCTCCTCCACTACCTGAAAGTCCCCGGAATCCAGGTCTCCCATGGCCCACAGGACAAAATCGGTCTCCCGGTCATTGTTCTTGTCCATAACAACCAGTCCAGTTACACCTGAGATAGAAAAGCATAGCCCTTACTTTGAGATCTACCTTAGGGTCCTTGCCTATCTCCACAGTTTCTCCAATTACCGCACAGTCTGTCTGACCCTGCTTTTATTTTTATTTTTTTAAATATATTTTTATTGATTTTTTACAGAGAGGAAGGCAGAGGGATAGAGAGTTAGAAACATCAATGAGAGAGAAACGTTGATCAGCTGCCTCCTGCATACCCCCTACTGGGGATGTGCCTGCAACCCAGGTACATACCCTTGACTGGAATTGAACCCGGGACCCTTCAGTCCACAGGCCGACGCTCTATCCACTGAGCTAAACCGGTCAGGGCCTAACCCCACTTTCAATAAGTGTCCACTTCTGCCATGTTTCTGACCCCTATTAACTCTCCTCCCGGCCTGATATCTGTATTTTCTTCTACCCACTCCACTCCTGAGCCTGACAGCAGCCCCCTGGCCTCCATCTGACCCTCTTCATTACCGTGGTATCTTCGTCCCTGCATTTTTTCCACAATTCGAAGTCCATCTTCCCGGGTGCCCCCTTCCTGTATTGTCTCCTTCAGGACTTCGGCATATAGCAGGATCCCATCGTAGAAGCAGCCGGCGATGAGGTTCATCTGGGGGTGGAAACTCCAGCAGTGCTCTCCAGTATCCTGCCAGGCCCCAGCCCCACCCCCTTTCCCATCGCTGGGGTCTCCTTCTACCCCTTCTCTCTTCTGGTTTGCTTTCTTCCCTCCTCTCACTCCTAAGATTCACCCCTACCTCACTGGATGCTAGAGCAGAAGGAAAATCCTGGACGGAAGTGGACAGCCCCCAACGTAGGGCCGGCTCCACGGCCACTGCTCAATGCTGAGTCAGGAAGGAGAGCTTCCCTCAAAGCCTGGCCTGATCCTCAGGAAAGAGATCTACTCACCAGGGAGGGGGCCAGCTCCACACCAAAGTCTTCCCGGGCTCTTATCAGAAGGCGATTCTGGAATTCCTGATACTCAGGGTTTGGGGGTTCTCGGTATGTGATGACCAAAACCATCTGTCCCAACAGCACATGGGGAAGAGTGAACAGATGTCCAAGATGGATTTTAGGGGATGAGGGGAAGCAGGAGAGGACACTTGGTGAAATACACATGATATAAAATATACGTGGGTGAGTCTGAAGGCTGAGAGGATGCTAACCTCTATGTTGTGTGCGTGTGTGAGAGGGAGTATGTGTAGCCTGTGTTTAATACATCTGCGGAGAGGGCTGGCGCACCTCCATGAAAAGTAGACAGGATGGTTCTGGGACAGTGGAGCCTGGTCTTCCGTCCCCAGAGCCCAGGCCCTCATCTTCCCGAAGCCCCTACACCACCTAGGCCTCCTCACAGAGCTGCCACAGCACTCACAGCATCTCTGTCCCAACCTTTCTGGTACCTGGTCATGCTCAAGGGCGCCACTGGGCAACAGCTCCTCTCTGAGCGGTTAATTACTGTTAATAGTATCAGTAAAATGTTTACATTTCTATTAGGGACATTTGAACACGGTGCCTCCACCCTGTGAATCAAAGAGATTTCAGGTCCTATGACAACTGGGGGAAATACTTTGAGACAGTGATTCCATCTGTGAAAAGCCGTAAGCCCATTCATTCAACGTGTGTGGAACACCTACCATACGCAGCACGGTCCTGCATACTGGCACGATCCTACACATCACTAGGTAATAGACATGCGTCACAGAGGAAACACAGTCACACGCCTACACACATTTCACAGATGAGTTAACGACACATTTGGTCTCAGCCACGCACACGTCGCACTGGCCACAAGTCAGGGTGTCCCTGTCTCTCGCTGGGGTGTCTGCCTCACTCCCGCTGGCCTCACACATTTCCCCTCTTAGCTGATGAACACACTGGCTTCCACCTCCACCCCAGTCCCGCACAGTCATTGAGACTGACCTCTGCCTTGGACGGGAAACTGGCTCTGCAACCTCAGGGAAAGACCTCAGATCTATATATATTGTGAAACGTGACACTGGGAAATGGCAGGTTTAAATCTAGTCATTTCTATCAGTTTTGTTTGCTCTTGCCACAGAAAGCCCATACAGAGATACCAGACATGTCACATATGATCTATTTTATATCAATGTATCCCAGGTAGGAAATAATGAAGCCAGTTTCTAATGTACATTCATTATAGCCTGGAGTTTGCTTTGTGAGGTAATATTCTTATTCTTACTGGAGCATTCAGATGCTTGATCACACACTTCTAATGCCCTCCTGCTCTTGGGCAAAATTAAGAAGGAGAGAGGGACTGAGGATGGGGGTGGAAGGGTTTGTTGAGTAACATCTGTTCCAAGAATAAAAGAAACATAGGAGGGTGGGATATTGTTGGCAAACAATGGAAAAGTCAGTAAAAGGGCTGGAAAAGATCAGGTTTAACACAATTTCTGTTTCCATATAAAGGCTAATGACGGGTTTTTCATGTTTTTAAACAGTAAACCTAGAGAGGTTTGTTTGTTTGCTAGACTAGCAGTTCTCAAACTTCTTGGTCTCATGACCCCTTTACACTGCTAAAAATTATTGAGGACCCCAAAGAACTTTTGTTTATTTGGACTATAGCTATCATATTTACAATGTTAGACATTAAAACTGACAAATTTTTTAAACACAAGCACACTTCCCATAGCTGCCAGAGGATGACATCATCACACGTCACGTAGCCTCTGGAAAACTCCACTGGACAATCATGGAAGGAGGGTGACAGAGGCAAATAACATCTTAGTATAATTTTTAAAATAGTTTTGACCTCATCGTTGCCTAAAAGGATTTCAGGGGCCCCCAGGATCCCAAGACCACACTTTAAAAACTGCTACACTAGACTGTTTTGCTGGGGTTACTAGCTAGTAAAAAATGGAAGGAAGGAAGGACGGAAGGAAGGAAGGCAGGCAAGAAGGAAGGAAGGAAGGAAGGAAGGAAGGAAGGAAGGAAGGAAGGAAGGAAGGAAGGAAGGAAGGAAGGAAGGAAGGAAGGAAGGAAGGAAGGAAGGAAGGAAGGAAGGAAGGAAGGAAGGAAGGAAGGAAGGAAGGAAGGAAGGAAGGAAGGAAGGAAGAAAGGAAGAAAGGAAGAAAGAAAGAAAGAAAGAAAGAAAGGGAAAGAAAGAGAGAAAGAACCTTCAACGAGTTTCTGTGCTTGTGCGGGAATCAAAGAGAAGTGAAGGTAAGTACTTATGTCCTATTTCACAATGGATCCCAGGTGAAAAAAACCCACACAAAAAGGGTTTAGCAGTAGGTGGAAGCCAGGAGTGCGCCCAGGAAGAGTGCAAGGGCAGCAGACGGCTGCCTCTGCCTGAGGGCCCACCCACACTGCGACCTGCTCCAGCAGCCGCAGGAAGCCCTGTTCACTGTGACTTAAAAAGACAAAGAATGGTCTCCCCAAGAGGTTCACCTTCCACACAGCCCTTGGTTTAGTGCTTATTCCATTCTAGCTGCATGTGTCCCCACCTAGGTTGTGGCCTCCGCCTGGCTTCCTGACCCTGTAGTCCTCAAATGCTCAGTCAGGGGCTCTGGGTCCTCAGAGCCTAGTCATTTGCTTATTTAGTTCCACTGCACCTGCTTATCTTCCCTGGTTGATCATCCTGGTTTACAGCACCTGCCAGCTCTATTCCTGTCTAGACGAATTCCTAGCCCTCTCCCTGCTGTCCCCAACATACACCTTAATTCAGTTCAACAAATATGTACTCAGCACATGGAATACAACGATGAACATGATCCCTGCCCTCAAGCGGCTCTCCATGTTATGAGCTGGGACCTTTCCTTGAGCATGAGACCCTCCTGGGAAAGCTTTGAGCATCTGTAGCAAGGCCTCCTCGCCTCTGCTGCCACCTGTTTCAGACTGGCTTGGTTTGGGACCCGAGTGGGCCAGGTATCTCTGGAGTAGGGTGCTCTGCTCTTTAATCCTTGGCTGGACCTGACCACCCAACTTTCCTCACTTTTGCCCTGCTTCAGCTTTGGAAAAGGACGAGAGTAGCTTTGCCAGAGGACAGACACCCTTTCATCCCCTCACCCCCACCCCATCCCACCCCAAGCTTTGGTTTTCCCATCAGCATATTCCCAACTGCCTGTTTCCCCTTCCGTTGTATTGTAAGAAAACTCTCCCTCTGTCTTTCTGTCTGAATAATGCCTACAATGAATAGGAAAACTGGGAATTAATTTATAGAACTGTTAGCTAACAATATCCCTCCTCCCCCTACCCTAAGTGCTGGGGCCCCTTGTCTGATAGAAATTCTCATGCAAGGAACAGAGGTGTTCCTTCCACAGAAAAAATACATCCCAAAGGCCATGGGATCCTCCCATCCAGGAGGGTCCTAGGGACCTTCCTTGACCGAACTGGCTAAATACAATCCCCTTGTTATTTTTCCTCTTTATACCGGTCTATTGTCCTTTTTAAAAATTTACTAACACATCACCATTTATATTTGTATTTGTTTGCTTAATGTCTGTCTATTCTACTAAATGTAAGCTCCAAAAAGGCAGGGACTTCATCTGTTATGTTCTCCACTGTATATCAGTACCTAGCACAGTGACTGGGACATAGCAGGTGCTCAATAAACACTAAGAATAAGTCAGCCTTCAAATGAATTAAACACTGAGTGAATAGAATATAAACTCCACAGTAGACAGAGTTAAGCACAAGAGTAGGAAACTCATTCTAACCGGGGGATTCAGGGATTATTTCCTAGAAGAGAAAATAATCGGTCTGAGCCTTGAAGAGTCTGCAAGCATTATCCAGATGAACAAAGGTGAGAAGGCTGTTTTAGGCAAAAGTTATGACATAAAACCTGTCCTGCCACTGCCTATGTTCAGGTGTGACAGTCACAAACTCATACTCAGGCATGCAAACAGATAATGTCATTCACAGTCAGATGCATGTTAGTCAGTCACAATTACATGTATAAATCTTACTCATGAAATCTTACTCATTGGAGAAGATGGCCATCTAAGTCCAACCCTCATAAACGTCTACTTAGAGTCAAAGAATCTCCAAGCTAAAAGGACCTTAAGGTTATCCCATACACCATCCCAAATCCTTTTTGGGAAAAGGAGGGATATGGATAAATAAATAATAAATACACAAGTCAGTGAAATATTGGTGAGCGGATCAGGGAACAATTCATGGGTAGGATCTTGAGAGGCAGAGATTTTGGGGGAAGGAAGAGTATTCAGACAAAATAATCAAAGAGCACAAAGGTGGGGGCAGAGAGGCCCAGGGGTCAGGGGCTGGAGTAGTTGGCATGAAGGGCAGTAGGAGGTAAGACTGAAAAAGTAGGTTGAGGACAGACTGTAGAAGGTCTTAAATAAAATAATGATTTGGGACTTAATTCTGTAGGAAATAAGACATTGAAAGTTTTGATAAGAGGAGTGAAATGAACAGAGTCATGTCAATTCTCCCTACAAATTGTTTCTCAAATCCATTTGTTTCCATGCCTGCTATCATCACCCTATTTCAAAGTCATATCACCTCGCTCCATTCTAACCTTTCACAGGTGGCCTCACTGCCTCAAGCCTCCTCTTCTTCCAATCCACCCTGAATTCTGTTGTTATATTTCTCTTTACGAAAAAATCTCAAGGATCCACAGTCAAGTCCAAGTGGCTACATCTCAGCTCAGAGCTCTCCTTACATACATAAGTCAGTGAAACACTATTTCCTGCACCTATGTCAGGTGAACCCTTCTTTCTTGTCAGGTCAGTATCTTCTTGATCCCCTAAACATGCCCATTCCAATCTTTTTCTCTTTGCTCAGGCTGCCTGGATCCTCGCTCACATGCTGCCTAGAAATATGACATCTATCTTTAAAGTCACAACAGTCTCACTTCCTTTATAAAAGCCAACCCTAACCCCAGCCACATTGACGCTCCCTCCTCTGAACCACTAAAGTTCTTAGTGCTGTTCCAGGATACACAATCATATCTTTTCTGGCACTTGTACCTAATTGTATCACATCACGCCTTGCCCCTCCAAAAAGGGTGCATGCCCTCCTACCGGCTGGGATGAGATCTTTTCCTGAACTTTTCTCCCCCACACTATGGTCTACTCCTGGTGCTCAGGAAAGTCAGTGTTCTGGGATCCTGGGAGGTAGCCTTGGCAGACGCACTGAAAAGGACTCACCAAGGTGAGGGAGTAGTAAAGAATGATACTAGACTAGAAAAGCCTCTGTTCCTTTCATTCCTGCAGCTCAAAATCCCTGCCCTGTGCCTGGGCTCCTGTGGGTTCTTGTGAGAGGCAGAGAATCTCCAAAGAAGCTCCATTTCCCCCACCTCCTTCAAGTTTGGCTTAAATGATACCTGAAAGGCCTCTCTGAGGGCCTGGGCCTGTTCCCACGTGCGATTGTCCTGCCAAGGCCGGCCTGCACGGAGACTCTCCCCAAAGACATCCAGGTAAAAGAAGACATAATCCCCATTGGTCAGGTTCTCCCTCTGGGCCTGAAGCAGGATCTCATGCAGCATCTCCAGAGGGCCGCAGATGTACACAACTGGGAGCAGGTATACAACAGGGGGCACCCTGAGAACGCATCCAGGTCCCCAGACAGCCCCCTTTCTGAAACCGTCCGCACTGCCGTCATTAGTAAGGAAGAGAGTGCCCTAAGCTATCAACCACCCAACAGATGCTCCCCACTCTTCCCCTGGGAGTCTATGTCATAAGTACCCTGGGGCTGTGTGGGCCATCTGGCCGAGGTCAAAGCCTGACCCAGCCCCAGAGGAAGGGAGCCATCAGCCTGAAGCCCCTCTTCTTCCCAGACCCCTGCCTGCTGCTCCCCACCCAGCCCTCCTCACTCCCCCCACTGCCCGCCTTTCCCAGGGCTCAAAGGCACTGGCTGCTCAGAAGTTCTCAGTTGAGCTTTACATGTCTTTCCCAGTGATTTATCATAGACCCACACTAGAAGGGGTCTTGGGATCCCAGTCTCTGCTCACAGATAGCCATCCATTTTGAAGTGGCCACCAACTCATTCACTACTCTAGGGCACTCTCATTGCTCCCCAAATTCAATTTCTCCCCAACCCCACCTTGTCCCCTGGCACAAGCTTCACCCCTCATACGATCTTCTTCCTTGTTTACATCTGCCTATGACGTCAGCAAGCTCCCATCAGGTCATGCCCTAGCCCTCACACAGGTGCTTGGCCACATGCTTCTGGACCCCAACCACCACAAACAGCTCCTCCACGCCTGTCTCGATCTGCGCCTGCCCATGACGGCCGCAGATGAGCCCCAAGAACACAGTGACCCTCCTCCCCTGACCTCCGAGAGCCGCGGCCACACTCACTGCGCCCGTTGGACCGGATGAAGTGGGTGGCCTGCTCAGGACCCCCCGGCTCACGGGCGTACACGTGGTGCTGCACGCTGAGGTTGTTGCCCTGCAGGGCCTCGAAGACGCCCTCCACGGTGAAGTAGTGAGGCCGGTCGTCCGTGCGAGCGTCCAGATACAGCAGGGCCGCGCGGGTCGTCCAGTTGAAGTGCCCGTGTAGCGTCACCACGAACTCACCCAGCTTGGGCGCGGAGGGGCCGGTGCGCACCAGGGTCCGGTAATGCTCACTCTTGGCCGCAAAACCAGAGGCCACAGCCCCCGCCGTCAGCAAGGGAAGGCGCCAGTGGGAGGCAAAGCGGGCCACAGAGGCGGCGGGGTACACGCACCCGGGGCCCAGCAGGAGGTCGGGGTCATGGTACAGCTTGAGGTCCACGGCGCGCAGGGGTGCCAGGTACTCGGAGCAGGCGCCATCTAGTTCGGAGCTGACAAACCGCAAGTCCACGGGCAGTGCCCGGCCCAGCGCTTCCACGGCTAGTGCCACGGCCGGACCCACCCGGGGCCAGGCCCAGGCATAGCTCAGGTTGTGTTCTGGCAGCACCACCGCCAGCGTCAGGTTCCGAGCCAAGGGAGGACGCACCCCACCTGCCAGGGCTGCCACCACTAGCAGGAGTGATGGCAGTGCCATGGGGAGGAAGCAGCAGCCCCGCCGGCCCCAGAACCGGGGGCCACCCTGGCCTACCCTGCAGGCCCGAGCACCACCCAGCCTGGAACCGGGGACGACGGCCAGGCCAGGGGAGAAGAGAGGGCGAGCCAGGCAGGCAGGGAGCACAGTGGTGGGGGGAGAAGGGGAGATGGAGGGCCCCGGGGTGGGTGAGGGCTGAGGACTAGGAGCTGGGTGGCGGGAGGAGGGAGGGGCCGAGGGGCTGCCACTGGGATGGGGGCCGTGGGGTGAAGTCGGCTTCTGGATCCAAAGTTAAGAAGGAAAAGGGGATCCGAGGCTGCGATGGGGTGGAGGCCGGTCCAAAGGAAAGGCCTGGGGGGCCGTCGCAGCTGGAGGGGTTAGGAGGGCAGAGAGCGGCGCAAAGGTGGACCACGGGGTGGGGTGGGAGGGCGCCCGCCCCGCGGAAGGTCGGGGACATGGGCAGGCGGGCAGCGAAGCAAGGCCCGGCCGGAGGGCGGAGAAAGGCAGGGGCAACTCTCCCAGGGAAGGCTGCTCCGGAGCTCCAGCTCGGA